TTCACAAGCAACAGAGTTGTGCAAAATACAATAATGTAAACAAGCAAAATACAAGAATGGCTACATCTGAAACTAATAAATATATGTACAATATATAATAGATATATAATAGTATATGCATTTCTGGATGTGTATACTAAATATTTTTCTACGTGTTTGTCACAATTAAATGTTTTAGATCATCAAACAAATTAAATAAGATAACACAAATGTAAACAAAAGGTCTAATGTCACACTTTTTCACACAGGGCTATATAGGTTTGGATGTCTTTCTCCCTCAATAATAAACACATTCATAATGTAGCATAAGCGTATGCTTTAAAAACGTTTTTGTGGCTTACTAGTTCTTTAAATTGAATCAGCGTCTTCAATGGTCTCATGGGATTAGCATCTCTGCTCATCACGTTGACATTGTGGTTTGAGCCATCATCTTGTGAACCTGTGCACATGCATAGTGGAAGTTTTAAAGTTTTTAATTGAGCAGTTCTATATATGCACGTTTTATGTTCCTCTAACCATTGAAATGAAAGTTATGCCTGAGTCTACATTCATATAAATAGAGCCTTCAAAATACCTGACCTTTTATTTGATGCCTGTCAAGTAGAGGTACTTACTTTGAAATATGTGGGGTCAAAACCTCCCAGCAGAAAGGTCAAGTCTGCCCCACCTGATACGTTTGGGAAGTCAGTAACTCCAGTTTATCAATAAAATCAGCTTGAGATGCTCCTGTTGTTGAGATCATGGCCATTACAATACAGGATTGAAAATGTGGTGTGACCTAATGATAAAGTATGAGTATATGCTTGTGTCTTACTTTCACATAATGCATTTCTTTCTTTGATCGCACTCTCTTCTAATTCATAATTTATTAATACACTTTTTCTCTCGTAGCCTGCAAATGGCTTGGTTGATGGCTTTTCCATTTTACTTCAGGAAGTGTCTCTTGATTCGTGATCTCAGAATGACTCATCATTATCATGGATCCATTTTTTTATTTATTTTTTTATTTTTTTAAATTAGATAAATGGTAAAGTGAACAAGGTGACAGTGTTTACAAGACCCCAGCAATGTGGGCTAGTCCCTCTTGTAATTTTAATCCCCTCGCATATAATCCCGCCTCTTCTGCCATTTCCATTCTTTTCATGACCCCTCCCTCTGTTTTTCCGCTCTCTCTCACTGTCCTCTCTCATCCCACTTATTCCACCTTACGGCTGATGGAGCATTAAGCCTGAATGCTGTGGGCAGCCATAGCTTCAGATTCAGAGCGTGCACTTGAGTGAGCCACTGCTGCGCGAGTTCCTCCCCTGGTCTTTCACATTCTTGCTGTTTCTGGATAATCAGGAATTACTTGCTTGAACTGGCCAGTTTCTGTTGTTATTGTGTAGAAGTGGGGGTTCATTGTTCCCCATGACGTTACCCCTTTAACTGTGGATATCTAGAGCATGGTCTTGTGGATGCCCTCTCCAAATTAACCACAGCTTTTTGGTGCTCTAATTTGGAGGACATCGGATGGACATTTTCTGGATTTGTATATTTTTGAATGATTCCACGACGAGACACAGTGGATAAGATGGTGCCCCTACAAAAAAGGGTAATCTGAGTTATGTGTGCAGAGGAGGAGAGGATCGTTTTGTGTGCATGATGTGGGTGCAGCTATGTGTGCTTATTGTTTTCTGTTTTGTGCCCTGAATGCTGGATGTCTGTAATAATTTTCATCATGAAGTAAATATTGTTAATTGCTTTAATTGGAACATGGCGTCTCAGAGTGAGCATGTGCTTGGGCGATAACAACAAGCAGTGGATGGGTGTCTGAAAGTTTAGACTTTAGGATTGATGAGGCAGAGTTTAATTTCAGTAAAAATGTGTAAATCTGTTGATTTCATCTTCTGCTGAGTGGCTCGCTGATGAGGAGTGATTGCTCATTGAAACTGACTAACAATGCAGAGTGCACCGCTACCCCTCACCCCCACCCTTCTCACTCCATTGTTTTTGCTTGAGTAGCAGTTAATTGTGTGAAGGCTTGTTCAAAGGTGTGCAAGAAATTTTGATCACCCTCTAGACAACATTTTGTGGCTTCAGTAAAGCTAGAAATATATTTTCCTGAAGTGTTTGAATATTTTGCACTTCTAACAAATAAGCCAGTTTAACACACCTTCTCATAGGCTACACTAAACCTCTTAAACTTTTCATCACCACAACCACTTCCTGTGTCTAGGGTAAGAAAGCGCACTTTGTGGAGGATGTTCTAAAGTGCCCTGCATGGTTTGCGTTGAGAATTAGAAAGAACTTTTTGCACTGTGCTTAAGAGCAATTATCTGCACTCAGGAAGACTACCGACATGTTAGAAGAGAGGATGGGAGATTGTTGGAGCCGCACTAAGGTTGTCCGTGTCTTTTTTTGTTGTTCACCTTTGGAATTATTTTGTAATTCTCTTGGAATTAAGCATACGATTGTTAGTGAAACTTTGCACGTATGTAAATCGATATTCCAGATGAAGGCTTTTCTTTTTTGAAGTGATGAATTTCAAGACGTGACCTCAGCCAACTAAAGGCTCATTTTTTCCTCACAAGTCATGAACGAATCATGAAGAATGAGTTCAGTCTGAACAGCTGTGTTTGGTTATCAGTAGTGAGGATTGCTGCTGCTGCTGCTGCTGCTGCTTGTTTTTACTATGAGCTCTACTTTTTCTCTGTGACAGACCACAATTTGAAATTAAATTAAGAGTAGCAAGGGGAAACTTGCTGGAAAATGACTCGGTGTCAGGAGGAAAGTTGCAGGCTTATTCCAGGAAACACGTCCTTTGAAGAGTTTAAATCACAATTTAGGTTGTTTGAGATCAATTACTGAGAATAAACCAATGCGTGGCCTGTGGGAAGCCAGATGAGCAGTAGTCTACAAACAGAAGTTAAATTTTAATAAACTTAATGATTAGTATGAGCAGTGCTCAACTGCAAAGGTAAAAATGCAAGTGGGCCAGAGTAAGTGAGCAAAAGATCGACAGTAGGTCCCTTGCAGTGCCGTCATTGAACTGATTGAATCGTTTGTAATGCTTAACTTTCTTATTACAATGTAAATGGCATTACAGAGTGCTTTATTTTCCTTCTTGAATGATGTAATCACCATCTTCTTCTTTTCTGCAGGATCAGTTTGACAACTTGGAAAAGCATACACAGTGGGGGATCGAGTTTGTGGAAAAGTACACCAAATTTGTCAAGGAGAGATCAGAAATTGAAACCAACTATGCAAAACAGATTAGGTGAGTATTTAAGTTTACTCAGAATCATATTGTGGATTGCAGAAGCAGTTGTAATAATGGTGAATGTTTTCCTCTTGATGACATAGATAAAAAAGACACACACAGAAACAGACACTACAGCAGGATTTGACCTACCGAAGTGCCCTTGAGACTGAATCTTAAACACCACATTTTGAAGCTGACCTTGACCTCAGGCTTCCCATAGGAAGAGGAGACTAAATGAACAATCCCATGTGGGAAACCGTGCATTGGAATACAAGTTATCAAGAAATTCTCTTATTTTCACAGCAGTGTTGTTGTTTGCCTGCAAGGAAGCAGAATTACCTTATGTAACTGCAGAACCAAACATGCAAGCGGAAGAGGTTGTCTATTCCCCTCCATCCTTTTTGTCTGTGAAGAGTCTGTCTGCTGCTTTGCACTCTCTCCTGCGTGCTGTCTGATTGTGTTGCTAGCTTCAGTTTCAGGCAAGAGGAAGTCAGGTTGTGGGGGAAGGGGGTGAAGCTTGTGTTTCCATAGAGATTACTAGGTATCAGCATTATCAACCCCAGGTCTGACCCAGATTTTTCCCCCCTCCAATCACAAGTGTTGGTCCCGCCCCCTCCACTGTGTTTTGCTGCAGTCACTTATTTTTTTCAGGGGAAGTAGTGGGAGTGTATTCGGTCCTGCATTGACAGGATGCGCTTCACAAGACCTCTTGCATCCATGCACAGTGGGAGATACCCCCCAAATCCACAATCCTCCTATTTAAAGAGGCCAGGCAATATGGCTAATGCTTTAAGTATTGACCCCCAACCCCCAGTTTCACAGAATCTAGCCACTACCATTCCAGTATTCACAATGAAGGCCTCTGTAACACGCCCTGTGATCCTGTATGCAGACCTTGCCATGCCTGTTTCTTGATAATTAAGTCAGCTTGAGATAATAGGACTATCTGTCTGTGTTTATATGCATGCATTACCTACATATCTCTGTATTCACTAACTTTTCAGACCTAAATACGGACACATGCAAACAGAGGTGTTTTTTTTAATTGGTGCATATAGTTTTCCTAACTATTAATTTTGTTCTGTTCTTTTCTTTCTGCAAATCTGCTAAGTAATAATGTTGAACTTTAAGTATTTAAGGTCCTCTTTTATTGTCTGGATCATTTTAATGGCATGTAAAATACATTGCCTCAGTTAAATAAAATTAGTTAAATTAAAGCAACAAATATAGATATCCAATAATTCTGCTAGTTACTAGCATCTGTCACTGTGTGTTCCGCTCATCTAGCTATAGTAGGTTTATTGACCTGGAGGCTCTCCAGATGGTCCGAATGTTTTCAGGGCTTACTGTTATCTAGCATACACATATACACACAGATATATGTGCATATCGACATGCTTGACAGAAAAGCTAAAATGAGATAGTTAGGACATTAAGAGGTTTTGCGAGTTTTCTATTGTTTTCAACACACTGGTTCTTTGTTGTGGTGCTACTTGGCCATACCTCAGGACTAATTACCCTCTGTAATCAACTTGATTTGTGACATCAGGTATAATCTATTGGGCACACTCATGCTAAAAAAAATGCAGAGCTCTTAAATCTAATAAACTAATGGAACTAATCCTTTGATCTAGTCCTCCTTTCTCTCAGCTGTGTTGCTGGGCAGATTTTTCAGGCTCAGAGGTAACGTCTTTCATCACAGTAGACAACTTGATAAGTCACAACAGGAAATGCACAGGTGTATTTAAAGACATTGCTTAACCTTGTGCAAGTTTATAGTTATGGTTTAACTTGCTGGGTTGCATATGAATCAGTTTTTTAATTAAAAAAAAAAACTAATTCAAATAATTCTTTGTTCACCCAGATGTTATATCTGGGTGAACAAAGACTCACATTTTATATTCCTCTAGGCCAAAGGATTAAGAGAGAAAATGTTTGTCAGATCAATAAGCCTGCAGAAATGGGCCAATTATGGGGGAGGAATCATCAATAAGTGAGGCCACAGTTTTAATACAGTTGCAACAAATGCTATGTGAAACATATGAAACACTTTGCTTTTCTAAAGAACTGAATGCCATGTATGACTATAAATCTACTTTACACCATTTCATCACCATACCAACCACACTGCACCAATCCATGAATAATCCTCTTTCCCTGAATTGGTGTAAACATGCACAATGCTTCAGTGTAGTCATTGCAGGGGCAGTGCATTAATGCCCCACCCTCCTCTCCCCTAGAGTCCAGTCTGGAGTAATCCAAATCAAAGTGGGAATAAAATCTTGCTGAAAACACACTGGTAGAGGGAGAAAATGTTATCAACTGCTTCAGAGATTTTGCCTCAGTAACTGTACAGAAAAATATGGAGACATATCCTCTTAAGTTGCCCCAAACCCCATTTAACCATCCTCATTTAAAGCTAGTTGTTACCCTAGTTTCAACACATTTGCTAAATATGTTGCTGAGTTGAGTGGGACACATACAGTCTGACACGTGGCTTCTGGCTGTGAGTGAATGAATGAGTGAGTGGGAGCTAGGGCTATAATTAGAGGTTGGGTGAAAAGGAGAGAGAGATAGGCACATAGATCTGCCTAGCAACAGTGCAAACACCACTGGAAAGTCGTGTGGGGGATGTGGGTATGAGGGAGCTGGATGGAGTTCATGCAGACCCACATTATATCTTTCTTAATACATTTATGATTTATTTCGGCATGAATTAAGCAAGCTCTTGTGCAAGCTGAGGCATTTAGGTCCCATCACTGAACAAACTGCTGGAATCCCAGATCAAACAGTCACCAATGACTGTAATCAGCTCTTTGCATCAGTTTACATTGACATGGTGTAATAATTTGGACAATAATGCCACCAAAGGTTCATGACATTAGACTGGAAAATTTCACTTTCTCCTTTTCATGTCTTTTCTCTGTATGAGTTAACAAATTTGTGGCTTTTTCATTTTGGTATGTCTTTTTTTTGTTAGTCCACAGCTTGGATATGCATTTTTAATTCGACAACAGTTCCTCTAAATTAGACAAAGGATCCTAAAGTGCAAGCACACAGTGTGCTCAAATCTTTCAGAACATTGAGTATGTTATTATGATTTGGTGACAGAGTCCCAGTTGGCTGATAATGAGTCTGGCACAGTGTCTTTATGAAACGAGTGACATGATGTACTGTAGCCTGCAATGCATCACGTTGCTGGGCTGCATGAAAGACAGTGATAAATGCTGCTGTAATGACATTAAAGGTTGTTATTTGTGTTCCACACACAAACACAACCATGCATCTATAGTTACAACCATGTTTTATTTCATCTTTACACATCCCTGTTCACTATATGTCTCATTTTCCCTCCCCCTCTCGGCCCTGCTCTAGTCACATACTGCTAACATACAGCCAGAGTCAAAACAAGGGTAATGGCTGCTTTAGAACAGCTTTATTCTGGTGACTGGCTCTGCATGCATGCTCCTTAAGGGCAATGATTTATGACATGAAGAGAGAGACCATAGCAGCAGGAGCAGAAAGCACTCTGCTGGATTGAATGGTGTACTTGAATGATCCTTTGGCAGGTCCATAAGGGCAGTGTCAGGGAAATATAATGGCAGGGGTGCACTACTGGTCTGAAGATAGGGCTCTTTGTAAGAGTTCCAGTAAGGAATATCTGACTGGAATCTTTTTCTTTACAGGAATCTATCAAAGAAATATCAGCCCAAGAAGAACTCCAAAGAAGAAGAAGAGAGCAAGTAAGTTAAATGATGCTGCATACGAGGTAAAAGGAATGCTGTGAAATTTTGAGGTGGAGAGAAGAGCCAGCAATTTTTTAATGAGTAGAAATCACTGGAAACATTTAATAGAAATATATAAAGTCATAAAGCATCATTTAAATGGGGATTTGTTATGCTTTTGCTGTAGTCTTGTATATAATTGGCAGATATGAGAGTGGTATCCTCTCATTATCTCTGTATTTAAAAACATTTAACTATTCCTTTTACTTGTTCTCACAGAGGTCGTTTTCTTTCAAAAATGAGCCATGTTTTTGGTAGCCATGTCTTTCCTCTGACTTCATTTCCTGTGGCCCACTAGGTACACCTTCTGTCGAGCCTTCCTAACAACACTGAATGAGTTAAATGATTACGCAGGTCAACACGAAGTTATTTCTGAGAACCTGACATCTCTTATCATCACCGAACTTGCGCGCTACCTACAAGAACTCAAGACTGAGAGAAAATCGGTGAGAGCTTTTGATATCGGATCTTTGGTTATTTTCTTTTTCTTGGTATTTGATTTCTGTTTCTTCTATTCCTCTGTTCCTATGCCATAAAAAACAAACTTTGACTTCAGACAATAGGATATGTTTAAGGAAAACAGACACAATGGGCTTTTTAACAGTGCTTCCCCTTTGCATGTTCTGTTCTCCATGAACCGAGGTCATCCCAGAGTAAATATAGATACACCCAAAGGCTCACCAGAAGAGCAAAACGTGACTGAGTGAGTCCTTTTTATGGAACACAGTCTTCGTCTCTCTGTCATTACACACTTATTCCTTCTTTTAAACCAACTAAATATCGGTACACCACATGCAATTCTTAAACATTTAAATCACTTTTATCATTACCATTATAAACTGATTAGAAAGAGTGGTGCACTTGCATTGTGTGATGCATAGAAATCAAATCCATACAGGTGGTGGAAGAGCAGAAAGCGAGAGAGAGGATGAGACCTAGCCACCTGGGAAAGTGTTCTGAAAATCTTTCATGAGCTCTTTTGTCTTGGAAGTCCTGCTGGGGGAACTGGAGTGGAAACCCAAAACCAGAGTGCTGCTCAAAGGCTCAGTGACCTTTTTTTAGATTGCGTTTTCATTCGCACAGGCACAGACATCAAGGCTCCTACATTTAGTCTATGGACCACATCATTAGTGATCATAATGAATTTTAAGCTAAGTTTTAGATGGAGATGCTACAGAAAAAAACGGGAATTTCCCATATTTGCAAAGAAAAATCACACACCCCCAATTCATTTTTTACTTTGGTTTAGCCTGCTTCATACAGCAAAGATCACATACAGACTTCAGATTTGTCTCTTGTTGTAAAGGTTGATTAGAGAGACTCCTGCTGCTCGCAGGCTGCAGAATGTCACTTTGACCCCACTGTTCCTTTTCATTTCTCTGCACAGTTCCTCTTTTTCTACTCTATTTAATTCTTAAATATATCTGTTTGTCCCTTTTTGATCCTTTCTCATCCTTTTTACCCATTCTTTTCTTTAGTCATGTGTCTTGACTAAAGAAGCCTAAAGCAGTATATCTTCAGTTAGCTAGTACTGGGGGTTCCCCTTCATAGCATAGCCATAAAACTTGTTTTATGGCTATGCTATATCCCCTGTCCAGATCAGATAGCTTGTTCTGTGCAGAGGATCATTTCATCTAAATTCATTGGGTTTCTCATGTTTTGTACAGTGTCCTTGTGGAGTAAATTTAACCTGTTAAGCTTTCAGTCATTTAAATGATTTTGCATTGAGATTCAAAAGCACATTCATACAACTCCTGAGTACTGGGGTGTGACTTTGGCTTATTTTAAGTGTTGAAAAGCCTGCTGACAAAAGCAAATTTCCAGCTATAGAAAAACATAGCACTACCAGAGAAAGTGATATATTGGGTGTTGTTTGTAAAGCCCCCAGCTTCCTATCATCCACTTTTCCCCCCTTATTTCTAAGCACTACTCAGTGTCCCCTCTGCAGCATTTTGTTTGTGTTAGACAAAGCCGCGTAGGCAGACCCAGACAGTGGGATTAGAGGCTGAAGCTGGCCCCTCCAGGGTTTATAGGAAGCTTATTGCGCAGGTAAAAGCCACATTACAAACCCGGAAATGAAAAAAAAATCCTCATTAAGTTCTCATATGGACTTGTTTTGTAACTTTCTACACTTCCCCTTTGCTGTCTTCTTGAGTGAATCGCTTGCTAAACTCAGCTCGGGGTGGCATAAGAGGTGGCCAGCAGTGTTCTCCTAAAAGGTTTAACATAGCAAATCTAGGTGTTTTTACAAAGGTAGAATCACATTTTATATGCTGGACTAAAGCTGTTGTAAGCACAGTAAGAAATATTTTAAATATTTCACAGTTGTGACAACATACTTTCTTGTTTTTGCATTGCTTAATGTCTTAAAGTGTAATATGAAATGTTGAAGAGGGGGCAGGGTTAATATGGGATGAAGGCTCTTTAAGTCTCACTGGACTGTTTGTGCTGAGGAATCATAATAAGGTGTTCAGTCAGCATACTGCTGTCCTTACCGGGTCTCTGACCACAAGGCTTAACTGGCCTCTCTAATGAAGACTGCCGAAGACCCTTAGACTTCCTATAACTCATCATAGGTTCCCTTTTTTATGTAAGTATGTGACATATTCAGCCAGGTAGAAAATTAAAAAAAAAGAAAGACACTAGCTCATTTAGCTGCAAAGACCAGAAAAAAAATGCATTGCATTTAGTGGAAAAGCAATAGATATTAGGTGCTTTTGTGCCAGAAAATATCATCCTTGTTGTTCTCGTTGAGGCAGGCAAGAAAGAGAAATCATGGTAAAAACATTGCATCACTCTGGGCTATCCTCAAATGCCTTCTTGTGTTGAGTGGAAAAGCAAATAGGAAGGTGAGAGGGAGAATTGATCGTTGGATCTTCCAGTAGTCTCTGCATGCATATATCAATCCAGAATGACTTCAGTATAAACAAACGCTGCAGTACCACTAGGTTTGAACTGTTGCCTAATGGATTCGACATGAGGAGAAACGTCCCAGTGGAGCTTTCATAGGGTTTAATCATCTCTGTCGTCTCTAGAACTCCACACAACCTGTGGCTATTTCCAGTACCTAATGATTATATGCATGCTGACAGCTGTATGAGGCTGCAGGTTCACATTCCTATGACCCAAGTCAAGTCAATGAATGAGTAATATATCAGTTAACTGCTGCATATGCACAGATGTGCATGTGCACATCTTGACTCAAGTGAGCTTAAAGATGCACATGCTAAGCAGTAAAGAGGTTTTCTCTTTTACGTGTCAGAGAATACAGATTTTTACAGTGGATAAGGCAGCTTGTGAGTGCACATCACACTCAGCTCAGCCTGGAAAAGGATGCCAGTAAAAAGAAGCATGTAAGGATCATGGTTGTGAAAACCCAAATCTCTGTCCTTAGATGCCTCGTATCTTTGTCAAGTGCTATGGTACCTGGATGGTATTAGAGAGTCTGTGTCGCAGCATGGGGAATTCCTGTATTTATGAAGGATGTGTCACAGTCATGAAAAAGCATGCCTACTTTCCATTATTAAGTGAATATTCAACTTTGATCTTTGATCTCATATTATCTAATCCCAGTTTTATTAAACTTTAACCTCCCAAGACTCGAACTCTTTCATGTCATGCATTTTTAATTTCTCTTTGCTATTTGGGCTGATTGGGACCTGATGAATGTAAAAACCAAGAATTACCAGATTTTTGTTTCTGAGAGAAATGAGATCCACATATGAGGACGTTCATTTTAAAATTTTATAGAACAGTGGCAGTATACTGTCCTCGTAAGTGAATATCAGGCCCTTGTAGAGCAAAATTTAGTATTTTGGTCTAGACAACCAAAAATGTGATGTTCACATATGTGGACTCCAGGTCCTAGGAGGTTAAATATGAATGCAGCAAAAGGATGAATTCTGGGTCAAGAATTTTTTAGGCCTTTTTCTCTCACTTGTTCTGGTAATGAAAATGGCTTGAGGTGACTGAACTGCTCTCAAATGTCACTGCAGTCACATGCTCTTATTGATTAGCATGAATGGAAAAAAGATGACATGCTCATTGAGTTCTGAATGGGCTACGAGGGATATTTGTATCACCAGGGTCTGTTAATTTAAACACTGAGAAACCAGTACGGCAGAGCATCTGCTCTGATCGCTGTATATGTGCCGTCCCAGGTGGCTGATGCCTCTTTTTATTGTGTTTGAAAGTAAAACTGCCTCATTTGTCCCTGTAGTCAGTAAATCTTCATCCTCCAGCAGATCTTGTAAACCTGATGGAGCTGTTTATCGCAGTTTGTTTATCTCCATAGATATTTGTTGTTTTTTTTAAACTAGATGATGTGCAGATTTCTTTTTTATAAATGTGGTTATAGAGGTAAATATTTGGTTGAACGAATTCTCCATAGTAACAGTGATGTCATACGGTCTGTGAGCTTGTGTTGTGTAGAGAGGCTTCACATTCACTTATCAATTACCAAGAATTACTTTCAGAGTACATCATTGAAAAGTTGGTGTTATTAAACAGTCACCTGCAGGTCCTGGTTAGCAGATTTTTTTTTTTTTTTTTAAAAGGCTAGTTAAATGTTGCATTGTTGGGAGCTGACTTTAGCAGTTCCACAGTGTCCTGTTTTTTCTTTTTGTAACGCTCAAATACTTCCTCTGAAACACTGGAACACTTCCTTATTTTACTCAGCTTCCCTCGAAACTTTGGGAAATGGGAAGTGTGAATGCCTGAGGTACACCAGGTTGCATTCTCACTTACTACTCTCATGTCATTCAAGTAAGATGAACTTTTAAGCCTCCTGCATCATTTGTAATTTCACATCTCTTGCTTATTTAATCAGAATACCAACTTCCTTGTGCTTCCCAAGCATTGAAATACCAGCAGCGTACAAACAGCAGCTTTCTGTTCTTTACAATAGCCTGGGTCCGTTATTGAATAGCAGCATCGATATTCAACTCAGCTACTGGTCCCAGCTTCCGCAGTCTGTGTTACTATGGGTTACCGCATTAATAGTCAAGTCCCTGTGCCATTTTCATTTTCATTTGATTCTTTTTGAAGTCCTGTGCAGATTAATCTTTCTGTCAGCAGTTAAAGAAGTATTTGCATGCTTTATAGCTAATCGCAATCTATTAAAAAAGAAAAAGTTTAGATTGTACCCGTGTGTTTGCAGTTCCAGGGGATTTGGCTGTGATCCACACAGAGAGCTGTAGAGGGATGTGCTCTGTCGTCGGGCCAAGTGCACGTTAGTAGGCTAAGCGAGGCCATGTACAAAAAGCACAGCGTATTTGCTGTACAAGTTTAGACTAGCAGCTGCCACCTAGTCCTCTCCAATATGCTACAGTTGACATTGCCAAAATCCTTCATTGTGTGTTTGCCTCTAAATAGTTTCTATCATTTAATTCATGCCTTGTTCTCTGTAAATTTCTATTTTATGTTGCTTCAGCTGCTATTATAGAACTTCATCAGTTAGCCTTTATCTGTTTCTTATTCTGCCCACTTTGCTCTGGGTGTTACTATCATGTTTATTAATACAGGTTTTTTTGGGAAAGTACAAACTTTACCTGGTAATGGCTCTAAAACAGTTAGGGGAATACCAACATGATTACTACTTAGTCAGACATCAGAGCTGTCACACAGAGAAAAGGGGGATCATCAGACTAATCATTAATATTGTTTGTAGGTCACAGTATTGCAGTGTTTGACCAACAGAATTTCCCTCATCCAACAGTAGATTCATGCTTTTAGTAGTTTCTTTCAACACGCTTTCTAATAAGCTGTTTATAACTTCTTGGTCTTATGGATATATTTTTTTAACTATTTCTGGTAAGAAAAAAGTAGGATTTAGTAAGTTTTATCAAATAATATGCATTCTGTATTTGCATGACCCTCAACAGAGAGCAGAGAGGACTGCTTTTTAAAAACAGAAACCTTTGGTGCACAGCTCTGCTATGAGCATGGTGCTTTGTGAAGACAACTCTGTGTACAGTATCTTTGACTGGTTTTAATGATTTTACTGTTAACCTGTTTTTGTCACTGTTACACACTTTCTCTGGAGCTGTGTTGGTACCCCTGTGGTGAGCCTGTGGTTAATCTTTCATCAAACAGACTTTTAGCCTCCTGCTCAAGCTTGAATATATCTCTGAGCGCTAAGCTCGTGGGTTCTATGGTCGTAATTTTTAGAGTATGTACAATACAGTGTCTATTTGAATTTGCACAGTTGACACTAATACTTCACTGTCACAGTGTAGGAACTATTCATAGTGGTTAATGATTACCTCATCTAATTTGTAAACCCTACTATATCAAAGACATGTTCATCTGATTTTAAATCCCTTGAGCTCATAAATAATATGAGAGAAATTAACAATTCTGTACTTTTTCTGTTTTCTCTTGCAGCACTTCCATGATGGGCGTAAGGCACAGCAGCACATTGAAAGCTCGTGGAAACAGCTGGAAGCGGTAAGTGAACCTATTTACGTGCAGTTCCACAGTTGTGCACTAGTTGCAACAAATACATACTGAGCTTGCATCATTTGCAACTATAACATTATGAAATTATAAATGACTAAAATAAACCATTTTTTCTGGATCGCTTGTCAGTTTCTCTTGGCTTGGGAGCCAGAGGCACTTCAGATTTTCGTGGCAGCCTAACCCAACCTAGAAATGAGTGTAATACAAGGTGAAAAAAACAAACAAACAAACAAAAGCAATACTTCTTTGAACAAACAAATATCTGTTTCTTTATGAAGGATTTGCTCCAGGCATTTTAGATCATTCGAGTTATTTCCCAGGCGAAGAGTTGCTACCAGTCAGCAGTAATAAAGTCAAATATATAAAGCACATCATTATCAAAAACTGCCAGACATGAGGTGTTAGTGGGAAAAATGTAAATCAGCAGAGGTCCTTGTACAGAAAAACCTCCTGTTATGTCCTAAAATCTCAGTGTACATTTTCTTTTACATGCAGTGAGGGGGACAGAAGTCACACACTGTAAATAATAATAATGACATCAGATGAATTGATTGATACACACACTGCCTGAGGTGCACCTAGTACTGAAGACTGAAACACTGAAGTATAATGTAAATATCAGCTGCTGGCAAGATTTTAAGTACGTTGTTTCTCGTGCTGAAAAAGTGCAGGTCCAGGATTTCTGTTTGTATTTGTAGTAAAGAAGCTCGAAGAGAAATTGCACAGAACACTACTTCTTATCTCTGGCTGGCCGCTTTGACGGGGGAGAGAAAGCGTGTGAGAGAGATGCCTTGTCCTTCTCAAACTTCTCTGTGCACTCAATGGATACCATTGTATGTGAGGCAGATAGGCATAGTTCAGAGTGCACACTAGCCCAACAAACACTGATTGTTCAGTTAGAGGGGTCGAAAGAGGGTTGGATGAATGCTTGTTTTTCTGTACACAAATGACCACTATGAACATTTGTTTAATCTGCAGACTGCAGACTTTAACAAACCCTGTTCCTGTGTCAGTTGACATAAACTGACCTCTGCTGCACACAACGCCAGGCCTTAAATGTATTTGACGTACACGTACACATTATGACGTCCATTACTGTGCTTATTTAAAAGTCAAGTAATATAGCGTTCTGCTATAGCTCGTGGCAGGAATTGACTGATGTAATGTGTGTGATCTCATTAAATCATTAAACCCTCTTATTTCAGAGTAAAAAACGGTTTGAGAGGGAGTGTAAAGAGGCAGAAAGAGCACAGCAGTACTTTGAGAAGATGGATGCTGACATTAACGTGACTAAGGCTGACGTGGAAAAGGTATGTGTTGTGTCACCTCATATCCAATGAGCTTGCCCTGTACCCTTCATGCTTAACACGACTGCCTGGGCTTCTCACCCTCCCACCTAGCAACCTTTTTGTCACGATTTTCTTTTCCACGTATTCCCCCTTTTATGCCCCGATCCTGAGTCCTCGTTCCAATGAGCCTAAAAGACAGCAAAGACTGACTGATGACGTTCTTGATGCCAGGAACTGTGCGAAGAAGCTGGCATTGTCCCAGCAGCACAGTGATCTGCTGCTAAACAAAGCTGATAGCAGCAACAAGTCTGTATTATCTATGTAGAACAGCCACCAAACATCTTTGTTTAGTATAAAAAGGTTTGGTTCTCTTATGTGTCTTTCAGTTTATACATGTAGGTTTGTTTTTACTTTTTGACTGTGAAAAACTAAATAAGTAGTGTGCTGTTTTAGAGATTATATGTCCTGTTCAATAAATCATCACAAGGAGCAATCATCCGATTCTCAGAACTTGCAGCCCACAGTCTCCTGGGCCCGTAGCTGATGTCATTTCCTGTTGTCATGACCAATTAAAAGAGCCCTCAAAATCTCAGACCCACACAGCTCCCACGCCCGCAAGGCATCATGGGTCAGCAGCGCATGTTCCTGCTGCTCATCAGCTGTTGGAGCAGAGCTGAGGCTCACAGTTGACACAGTTCAGACCTGATTATTATGCAAATATAGGCTGGAATAAAGAGCCTTTCTACACTCTGGACATGCAGCCAGAGAACTACAGTCATCTTAAGAGAGCACTGAACTCAGCTGGAAAGACCCGGCACAGCAGCTCAAGAATCTATTGTTGAAGCAGGAGTTGCTGTACTCATATTAGAGTTATGTTTATTATCACACAACATTCATAAATTGCACATGATATCAGCAAATGAAATGATCATTTGATTTTCACTTTATTTGAGTTCAGCCTGTTTGTAAAGTGGGGACATAAACTGTGTCATAGTATGCCAGATTCTTCACAAAATAGTCTTAATCTTACATTATAGGTACATATGCAAGCAATGTTCATGAACAGTGTATGAACCGTAGTTAACTGGACAAACCCATTAAAACCACTGATATTGCCCTTTTATTTAAATACATCTCTCACATTACATATCATTTAATTGTGCTTTAGTCCTCTCCTAGTCCTTCTCCTTTGGATCATTTGGTTGAACTTGGCTTGCTTTTTACTTACTCATCTTTCAGGAAAACCTGAAAGATGATCTTGTCAGCGTCTTTCTATAACAGGTACTTTTCTTCCAAAAAGTACAAAAAAGCAGAGCTTAGTGTTCTTATTAAGATATAGAGTATAGCCACTTAGACACTTGCGTTATTACATTTGCTGCAAAATACATGCACAGTTTAAAGGTACCCAGATGAAATGTCACAACCACAGCTTAGTTTGCATTTTAGTCATAGTGAAAAATGTTGCTCCATGAGGAGGTTTGGGGTGAACAGATAGGTGGTGGCATGGTGGTAGGAAAAGCAGAGAAAGAGTCATGTATATTTTGACCTGTCCAAATCAGTATTTTCCAGCTAAGTTGGCTAAATATTTAACAGAGATGTATTTTGAAAGTTCACTTCAACTAGATGCTTTTGTCGGTCATGCAATGCCCTTAATGCAAAAGAGCTGCTGTTTGTCGAGCTGGAGTTTTGTGGTTTTAAGCACAGCTGGAGCAAACCTCTAAGTGTTCTCTCTCCACCTCTGGCAAACAAATCCCTTAATTAGGGGTTTGGATTTGCAGCCCAGATATCCACAAACACAGTTACGGTTCTTTGAGGGACCCCCGGCCCTCACACACACTGACAGACTTCCCTGTTGTGGATTCTCCGTCATAAAGTATAGGGATACAACATATTGCCTTCCTCTCAACTGTTCAGTCTCTACCAGTAGCGGAGAACAGCAGCTTAAAATCCCACTACTTTAGTGGTGATCGTGTTTGTTTATTCTGATACCAGCTTCCTTTTTTTAGCGATGGTTCTCGAGGTGGTGCAGGAAGTGCATCTATAGCAACTTCTTGTTTAGCTAGAAACAGCTAATAATTCTTTTGTGTGTATGTGTGTGTTTGTAAATTTATTTTATGCCATGCCTTGAAGCGAAGTTTCCATAAGGTAGGTCCAGCGAGCAGAGAACCCGTATCTGTCGGAACACACACTGTCTCGACTTGTGTCTCGATATACACACGGTCTCCTGTAGAGTCTGACACATAGCCTCAACCAGGTCTGTTACCACGCCCTGTCCTGTCTGACTGTGGCTTATCGCGCTGTCTGCTGCTGTACACTTTCCCACTCTTGATTTTTATGTGTAAGAAATATGAGAGAAAGGCTGATTATGCTAAGTCAAACCTTTATAAACATTCATGCAGTTTGTGTTCCACATCCTCATTATTTCATCAAACTCTTCTTTAAAATCCACATTTGACAGCTAGATAAATAACTTGAAATGTGTAAATATGTATTTATACCCATTAGTGACAGCTAGCAAAACAGGTAATTTCCAGAAAATGACAACAGGATGTGATGTGGCTGCAGGCACAGCAACTCGTTTTGAAGCACTGGCAAAGTTACCATGGTGATAGCGCGTACCCTCATTATTTCTAAACACATTCAATACACTTTGCATGCACCTACACTTGCAAAGCACATACGCTAAATGCATGCTCACATGCTGGCGTTTAGAATTTAAACAGCTGGACTTCTCCATGTGCTTTTTAGCTTTTCTCTAGATTTCACGTTCCTTGTCTTTCGTAGGCTGTGTGACTCACAGCCAATCATTTTCCACTGAAGTATCATTTGTCATCCCTCATGTGCTGGAAATAATGTACCTTTGTATCTGACGTGTGTCTCGATGTACTGTGTGTGTGTGTGTGTGCGTGTGTGTGTGTGAGAATGTGAGTAAATGAGTTAGAGATACTCTGCTCTTGCTCTTAGTTCGGTGTGTAGGTGAAAACTGGATGAAGTCCTTTAAATGTTTCCTCTTCACTATGAGAGATCAGGGTTATGTTTCCTTGGCTGGCTCATACAGTTATACAGCTGCTCTTTTTTCTGTGTAGCCTTCAGCAGATTAAATGCTGATCACAATCACAGGTTCATGAGGTAACTCTTTGTTACAGATGACCCATTGAAATCAGTATTTATGTGAGGACGGCCTTAGGTCTGATGGAAAGAGGAAACAGATAGGAGTACTTAGCTGCACGCAACACTAACGCACATACACACAACCCGCACAGGCTGTCTAGCTGAGATAATCTCATCTCCATCTGCTTAGATTCGTAATAGGCCTCTCCTGCAGCATTTCTGACTGCCTTCCTTCCTTCCCTTAGACTAGCTTAAAATAATCAACATTATCGACAGCAGAGGCAGGCCAGACGGGGCGGACAGAGAAAATCCAAATCCCTCCATTCTGCAGCCTGTGCAGGCTGTTGTCGTCTTCTTTATTTGTTTGTTCTGCCCTACATATAATCTAATGCCAAAGGCTGTTGCTGCTTCACAACTCTGAATTGCACCTTTAGATATGCATTCACAAGCTCTCTGTGAATATGTGTGTACATGTGCATGCATGAGTGCTCATATACACAAATAGTTGACTCATTTAGGTTTTTATGCTCTGGCTGTGTCTGTGGTCTGTTTTCATCAGGGGACACGAGGTTAGTGAAGAGAACGTGGTTGTGATATATGTGCTTGTGTGTGTGTTTTTTCTTCAGGCACGACAGCAAGCTCAGATGAGGCACCAGATGGCTAGTGACAGTAAGAGCGAATACGCCGCCTACCTGGAGAAGTTCAACAAGGAACAGAATGAACATTACTATACAATTATTCCCAACATATTCCAGGTACATACAACAGCTCTACAGTGTATGATTTACCTCAGCCGATTTGTCATAAAGCTGGTTTTGGTTCATCAGTGTCACCATTAAATAGAAATTATTTACTCTTCCCACGTGAGAATATTAACACCTCCAAAATTATTGCATTTTTTTTCTGTTTTTTCTGTTTTTTCGCACGTAACCAATGATTGCACAGTAATGCACTTTTATCTTGTGAATTCAAAGCTGTTTGCAACTCGCTACACTCAACCCCCCCTGCAGGTCTGTTGCTAAAATTACATTTTTGTCATGCAGGAAACACTGACAGAAGCAAGCAGTCCTTATTTAAAGTGCAGTTATTTTTTGTCTTATCTTCATCTTACAGTTACAAAGTTTGTGACTTTGAATTCACTGTTTTGTAAAGTTCATGATTTTTGAGCGCTCCCATTTCCAGTGTTGTTTGGTCTGACCAGCCTTTGTTGCTCAGCATCAAAAGACAGCACTTTGAGATAGATTAAAGGTTTTTTGATTTTTTCAGTCAAACTCTACCCACACTTTTGTTTATGTATAAATATGCTTGTATCGAACTGTAGAAACTTCAAGACATGGAGGAGAAAAGAATTGAGAGGATATCAGTGTGCATGAAGACATTTGCAGACGTGGATCGCCAGGTGCTGCCCATTGTGGGAAAATGTTTAGATGGCATGACAAATGCTGCCGAGTCCATTGAGCCCAAGGCTGTGAGTATCTGTCTATTTATCCATTTAGTCAATTATTTCCTTGTGGTAACAATACTAATTGACAATAAATCCTATAACCTTGAAAAGCCTGTGTATTTCCCCTTAAATGGTGCCACAATAGTAAGGAAAATGCATTTGTGGGTTGAGTATCGGAGAATGTGGGTTTTGCTAATGAAAAACTTGGAAGATCTTTTGGATGACTGAAGTCTAAAGAAACAAAACATACTGGCAATTAAACAATTTCTTCATTTAACAAACAGGGCCTCGGTAGCATGTGGAAGAAGCATATACAGCATATACAGCTGCTCTACAGCCTCTCTCTGTATATATTATAATATCTGGGTGGTCTTTATCCTTCAAACTTGGGTCCAGCTTGGGGGTTACTGCTCCATTACCATGGAGACCACTCTTACCTTCATCCTGCACATCTTCTCTGGCTCCTCTCTCAGCCTTTGTTACTTCTTGAGCTTGCTGTGTTCCTTCTTCCAGATGTTGCTATCACTCGGTATAGCTGTATCTGTCACTACAGTCGTCCTCTCTGCTTGTCCACCACTGCTATGTCCAGTTGATTAGCCATCACCAGTTTGTCTGTCTGTATCTGGAAGTCCCACAGAGTTTTAGCGTACTCTGGGGGCCTGGGGGGGTTATCCCATTTTCATCTTGAGACTTCCAGGCTATACTCAGCAGAGATGTTCCTGTATACTATGCCAGAAAATTGGTTATGGCATTCCATATGCCTGTTAGCATCTTGAACCCCTACTATTATATGTTGGATTGTCTCAGGAGCACCTCTGCACAGTCTGCACCTAGTGTCTTGCCAGCTATATATGTATACTATATACATGTACCTCTTAACCAGGTCTTGGTTAACCCATCACTGTATGGGGGTTATTACTCAATCAGCCAGTCTATCACTGACAACCCACACAATCCCAATTATGCTTTCACTTAAACAACAAGTAGTTGAAGTCTTGGGGGACTTGTTAAAAGGTGAAAACACCTCGCCTCTCCAAACAAACTGGGAGGACCTTGTCGTAAATAGAAAAGCTGTACAAGCTTATTCAATTACTATAGTCCCCTCTTACAGTAAGGAAAATTAGTGACATACATTTCTTTAGCTTGTATGTCACTAATTCTTTAGCTTTCTGTGTTAAAAATACTCACTGTAGTCCTCCTTAAAGGGGTATTACCCTGATATTAGACAGAAAATTCCATTAATCCCTCAACAGATGTACTTCACACCTGGTGAAAGCAATTGTGTAATATGTGTGGTTTTGGAAGGAAACTTATAAAGACTGAAATAGTAAGAGTGATTGTGTCATTAGGATTATATCCATTTTGGCTGTAGGATTACCATTTCTGACAGAGCTGCACAATGGGGATGTGAAATCTGAAAGACACGTGTATTTAGGAGCATTTATCAGGTGAAGGCGTTTTTGAGAATATATTACGAAAAGTCACAGAGAATTAGGCATTTAGTGCTTCCTTTTTGGCTACTCTTTTTTATTCAAATATGTTTAAAGTGGATCTGAATAAAATTCAAACTTCAACACCGTTATTTTTTACCTTAAATATGATGAATGCCGGTTAACAGACATGGTTTTTAGTTGAACAGAGTAACACAGAGTTAGGTAGCCTAACTCTGGTAAATGGTAACAAAGGCTAGCTATGAGTAGCTGTAAAGCGCACACATTAATGTGTTAAATCTTGCCCCGTTTCTAGTCTTTATGCTAAGTTTAGAAATCTGGCCAGCTGCTGCGGCTTCATATTTCATAGGCAGATGTGAGAGGTTTATCAGTCTTGTCATTTATCTCTCCTGGAAAGAGAACAAGGCAGTTTCTAATATGTCAGACAATTCCTTAAAGAAAACGTAAACCAAAGATTAAGGTTGTGTCTCATTGCTTATAGTTATTTATTATTTAAATAGGTAAAAGGAGAGCAGCATTTGCCTGTGTCTAAAAGTGTGATATATTGAGCTGTCACATGTTGGCTGCCTGCTGTATGACAAAAAAACCCAAAACCATCCTCAGGGATCACATAGTTTGTGTATGTGTAGCTGTGTATGTGTGTGTCCTTGGCTAGGCTCCAGGAAGATGACTCTGTGCTGGAGTAAACAACGGCAGGGAATAACACATCACATGCTACTTTTCCTCTGGCAGATACTCTTCCTCTTTTCTTCTTCTCTCACATATGGAGGACACGAGCAGATCTCTGACCCCCTGATCCTAACTCCAACCAGACCCTTTGCTATTATCAGTTCAGAAAGGCTGGTGTGCACTGCAACTGATGAATGTGCGTCTTCCTGTGTCTGAGAAGCCTGGCTGTATCCCCGACCTCAGTGTTTGCTCATAACTCCTGCCTGACAGATTTAGGCCTTTTCCTCTTTCTTCTGTAGGCCACAAACTGAGTAATTCCAGCTTCTCTTCTTTCTTGACACACTCTTGAATTGTTATCAGAGAGAAAGTGATATAAACAACTGAGTCACCGGGCCACATTTGTGTTGCGTATAATCACCAGACCTATGATGCTCAAGACATTCTCAAACAACAAAGACCTTCCCTTTAGTTATTGTTTGGTATCTGAAAAGCTACTTTGAAAAAGTCGTTGACGCAATTAAAGAGGTTCCAGGATTAAGGGTTCTGCTAACTGCTGCAACTGTCGTCTCTCACTAGGACTCTAAGCAGGTGGTGGAGTCCTTCAAGTCCGGTTTCGAGCCCCCAGGAGATGTAGAGTTTGAGGACTATGGCCAGGCCATGAAGAGGACAGTATCTGAAACCAGCCTGTCCAACACCAAAGAGAGCAAAGAGAAGCCTGGTGTCAAGGCCAAAAGCAAACTGTGGCCTTTCATTAAGAACAAGAACAAGGTAACAATGAATGAACACCTTACTCAAAAATCACTGCTACACCCGAACGTATTGCAAAACATCACTAGTTGTGGTGCAGTTTCCTCGCCTGGAGCTCACTTTGCACTTTCAGGAGATTTATATGGGCTGGGGTGGAGGGATATTACAGGTCCCATTATGTTTGTTCTTATGACTTTTTATTTAGTGGCTGTAGAAATATATGTGTTCAGTGTTTGTAGTGTGTGTTACAGTCTTGGTGTTGATTCTGTATTAAATTTATATATTTTTAATAGATTTTTTTGACTTTTGTTCACTATGTTAACTTCAGAAATTTATTGCTAGTTCTCTGTTATTATTGCCATTTTTGTTGTTATTATTTGCCACCCGTTTCCTCCCCTGGCAATCACCCTCACCGATTTTGGAGCCTCCCTTTCATAACACACACTAATATATTTCTACTTTTCACTCTATGAACGGACTCAAGTGGCAGATATTAACTTCCTCTTGGATCTGATGTAACAGTCTTCCCTCAGTTCTTTTCCACTGACTGATCATCCTTGAGTAGCTTCCTTTAGCTTCCTGTGTCTAAACATCAAGACTGATCTCTGGCTGTCTTATGGGCTGGTGGCACTGTTGGTATTGAATTAGAACAGAGTGTGATTGATCAATCGTTTGTGAGTTTGTGCGCGTGTGTGTGTGTGCACGTCTGTGTGGGTGAGGGAGAAAGCGAGTTTGTGCAATGCTACATGAGAAACCCTGGTGTGCAGAAAATGGTGCAACCTCCCAAAATTAAGGCAAACTTGTAAAGGCAGAATTTGGGAGCATAGTGTACAGAAAGGTATTTACACTGTACATGCACACAAGGACACATGCATGCCAACAGAAACACAAAAACAATATTGGTTTACAGAATAAAAAAAAAGATTTAATCGCGCACCAGTGCATGTGCAATGTGCATCATGTGGTATCCTAAAACTCATCACTGCTTCACTCTCTCTCCTTAACTGCTGGTTGATGAATTATGCAGTCAGATGTTTTAGAGCCGCAATAAGCAATTAGATTAGGCTGATGATGGCCTCAAATTCAGCAGCTGTTATCCTCGGGGATGTGGTGAATTACTCGTCTTAGCTGGCATGTTGACGAGGTTGGGAAAGTAAAAAAACAAAACTCAAACGGAGGTTTCTAAAATGGAAGCCGGCATGCGCTTTGAAACTCTTCGCTGTTTGCTTTGTGCATCTGCTTGCTTTAACACGTTTGTGCGCTTTCTACTCACTCTGGTCATTTTGTTTTTTTTAATTCTTTAATTTTTTTATGTTTTATGTGTTGAACAGTTAATTTTTTCCCACAACATAACTGCTACTCTGGGTTTGACATCCCTTTGGTTGTCTTTTATGTTCCTTTGGGTTTTCTGTTGCGTGTGTTTATTTTTTAATATTTGTAGGAGGCTTATTTATTTTGTTTTGTGTTCCCTCCTCCTTTTCCTCCTTTGTCTTTTTTCGTTGGATTCTCGACCCCTTCTTCTTCTTCTTCTTCTTCTTCCACGTTTTTCCTCTTCCTCTCCGTCACGGCTCCCTCTCTTATTGGTAGCTTATGTCCCTGTTAACGTCCCCCCACCAGCCCCCACCTGCCCCCCCAGCCTCATCCCCACCCTCACCCTCTGCTGTTCCCAACGACCCCCAGTCTCCCAAGCAGCACAAGGAGCCCCTCTCCCACCGCCTCAACGACTTCATGGCCTCCAAACCCAAAATGCACTGCCTCCGGAGCCTGAGGCGAGGGGTAAGTGTGTGTGTGTCCAAGCCAGCTTTGTGCCTGTGTTTGTGTGTCTGTACACCTGTACCTGAGCTGTGTGGCTGCTACACTGTATGAGTGAATAATCCAAAGACGTGCTGAGCTTCCTTGGATGGTCATGATGGCTACAGCATCATTATTACTTCTGTTGCCAGTAACCGATCAAGTGTAAGCAACGCGACCTCCAACAAGTGTCCCACCTTCACTCATACAGTGCTCAGCTTTTGTGCTTCTCTAGCATGCTTCTGTAGAGCATTACCATTACCTATTGACTCCATGGTATGTGTCCTACTCACCAACAGCCTCTTCATCTTGTCCCTTCATTCTTCAGATTAACTGTGCTCACAATGACAGTCCCTCTCTACCACCTTCCCCTTCTGACAGAAACTAAGGAGCCTAAGCAGTGTTGGCAGTAGCATGAAGACTGCACTTGCTCCCTGTGCTCTTCTCTGCAGTCTATGCTGGAGGCAGATTGTTTTGGGTTTTGCACGTGCTAGGAACCAAGAAGAAGGTTAAACCTTCAAGTATGAATCAAGCGATTGGTATGGTGGGAGAGTAAGTTTAGACAACTTCCTGAGGGATGGTTTTATCAGCACCTCTCCAGTGCCCTTGTGTGTGTCATCACAATTTCTGCTCTAAAGTCCAGTGCGTGTTTTGTAGAGATACAGGCGACAGTTGCTGGGGAAGGTCACAGCATGCTTTCCTGTCCTTTCTTACTTCACTCTCCAGTTGTCCGTGACCTCAGGAATGGGCTGTAACTCCCAATGTTCCTTCCGGACTCCACAAATATCGTTTTTTTGTTTATGCTCATAATTTGAAATGGGAGCAGTTCAGAGTAAAAACATTGGTTTGAATTGGTGCTAACATGACGTCTGAAAAGGCAAAAGAACAATGTGTTGCAGTAGTGCAGTGTGTGAGTATCGAAGAGGAAATGATTAAAATGAGGCAGTGCAGAGGGAAGTGCGTATTTTTTTCGAGCAGGTCTATCAGGAAGTGCATGTTTCTAAAAGCGGATGTGTTGCAACAGCTCATGAGAAGACTGATAAAAAGAGTTAAATCAGATGCATTGTTTTCAACTATGCACAGATTAAACTGAAGTTTGACCTTATTCTAACATTTCATGGTATAAGAAAAGCTGAATAAAGGTTTAAAGGTTAAAAGCTTTATCAGACTGGAAAGCCTTGTGGAGATCTTTAAATTCATCAGTACTGCTTTCCATTCCTAACGAGGGTGCATTGAATTGATCTGTAGGTGTTTTTACATCTAGTGGAAGTTTATTTTCTGTGTTTAGATGCTGGTTGATGTAGATTACCGTGTTAAAATAATGCTTTCTTTTTGGAATAAATCTAATAAAACATCAAAAATGTAGGTAACCATGGTAACAAGCACTTTATCACCATTTGGAGGTAAAAGGCTTATTTTCTCTTCCTTTTTCTTCTACTGTCTTTTCAAACTAGGGTCATCATCATAAGTCTGTAGGAAGTCTAAATATATTGGACTAATGTATGTGGTAATGTTAAGATGTGGTTTTGTGCGTGCCTGTGACCTCTCAGCAATGTTACTCACTGAATCAAAAAGTGGTATCGTGACAGAAGACAGTGCATGTGCAGAAGGCTTCGGAGAGCTAGAGTAGGGAGCTCACCATGTCATAATGGGAAAAGGTAATTTGCCTAAAGCCCTACGTGATAAAAACCATTTATCATTGCTTAATCCATCCATCCTTTTTGTGTTGCGTATATGGGTACACAGCATTTAATTTGATTCAGAAAATGCTTAACCTAAAAAGTAATATAATATACTAAATAATTACTTTCCCTTGGTTATTGTCTTGAAAAGACTCAAATGTAACTCCAGCATAATCCCTGTTTGAAAATCCACCAATAAAATCTCTTACAGTCACATTCTGTCATTACAGCTGTAGGAAAACAAATAAAATACACAAGTGTTGCTGTGACACCTCCCACAAGGGGAACACATTTAGGATTAGTGTAGTCGTGTCTGTGGGGGTGGGGTGTTGTGTCTCCGCGCAATGGCAGGATGTCTACACCTGCAGGAGAGCTTGTGTGCACTGCATATGAGATGTCTAATTCATCCCCAGTCACTGTATGTGTGCGTGCACGTGTGTTGCTTCTGAGAAAAAAGAAAATGCGTCTGTGTCTTGAGAGTCAAATTAAGGCAGTATACAGTGTAAGAGCTCAAGCACATCAGTGTTGTTTCCCAAGTTCTTATTGACAAAGCTTTATTCTCTCTGATGACCACACAGCAACAATCTCCGCGCTCTCTCATTTATCACAAAGAGCTAATGAAGAGGACTCTGGGCAGACCCACGTATGCTTTTGAAGCAAGGCAATATGTTGTAAGTGTGTGTGTGTGTGTGTGTGTGTGTGTGTGTGTGTGTGTGTGTGTGTGTGTGTGTGTGTGTTCAGCTTCAGTGAGCACCACACCAGATATGTGTGCGTGTGTGTGTGTGTGTGTGCGTGTGCGTGTGTGTGTGTGTGTGAGAGAGAGACAACAGGTGTGTATTTGGCGTGTATAAGCATTGAATAGTTGTGGATGTGTGTGATTAGTAAAAGCCATGTATAACACAGGCAGTAGCCTCATTAATAATTGTCTGAGGAAATTTTCACCATTAATGAAGCAAAACATGCTCACAAAGGAGGCTAGTGTCTGTGTTTGGCTCAGTATTGATCACATGGTTGTGACATGTGCAGAGTCGGAAGAATGATTTTAGAAAATGATGACTTCATCCCTCATCACATGTGCCAGCTTGGGGTCTGCTGTGTCTCGCAGCTGTTTCAGGGCTTCCCCACTGAGCATCTACAAGGGGTCAATTCACAAAGTGTCACAAGCACCTGAGGATGTGAGAGTTATAAGGACGCTATTTATGATACTGAGGAATTACCGCTCTTTACTTATTAAACCTCATGTGGCTGTATGACACGAGGTGCTGGTTACACTTTGGGTCTGGGTCCAGCTTACAGTACCCAGAATTTACCCCTCTGGGGCTTTCTTTGTGCTGGTGTGCCATAGTGCAGCAGTGTTATCTGTCTGTAATATAACTGTTGATCTGTGTCTGTCTCAAGAACAAATCTAAAACGCTCTTTACGGAAAGCTGCAGCTTTTAAGTGGTCCCATGATAAATCACACATAAACTTAGTAATAAAACAAACAGTTAGAGACATAAATGTAAAAATGAACAGCAGTTATTGACTCAAGCTGCTAATTTATAGGAAACCCACTAAACCGAAAGCAACCGACAGCAGAAAAGAAGTTATGCTGCTCGTCAGGTAGTGCTGAGAAATCCTGAAAGCCAGGCTGATGAGTGCAAACAGTTTTATTCAAAGGAAAACAAGTCCTCAATGCAATGATGAATGCAAAAGTCGAAGCTAGCTTAAAAGGCTAATTTTCACATTTTTTTCTGGCCTGTTGTTAGAAAGGGAGCATAAAATTGGAGTATAATGTGTCGTACAGAAGCAGACCAGCTTAGACTTTTTAGCTAATTATTCTATAAACATTTTAATTTCACAAAAACATCAAACATAGCTTTTATTTAGATTGTGAGAAAGAATATGAAAGGATCTTTTGGACCTTGATTCTTTCACTTCAGTTTTTATCAACTTTCAGTCAAAAATTTCTCTTTTTCATTTCCGGATACAAAGTCCATACCGGTGACAGAAGCAAAGGCCTGTGTCTTTGCTTGCACTTCTACAAAAGCAGTTTTTATACATGTGAAGGTGTGTGTGTGTGTGTGTGGGGGGGGGGGGGGGACACATAGCAATGACCATAAAAGGCCATTCACAGGTGGATGACTTGATTAGTGGATCTAAGTGAGTAGAGCTCCTCGGTGCACCAGCATGTGACCTTTTAACAGGATTACAAGTCATCTGCTCTGGCTCTACCAACCAGTTGTTGTTAACCTGCTCTGTTCTTTGTATTCAGAACCATATCCTCTCCAAAGTCCCTCGCCAAATTCTATCGCTGTTTTAATTTTTGGCTTTCACTGAGCCACTTGAGTTTGCAAAATTTAGAGACCCGTCTATTTCTAAGCTGTTCTTCACGAGTGTGAATATTTGGTTTCTGAAAGCATCTCTCCAGTTTGTCTGTGTACAGTATCTGCCTCCATGTCAACATATGGACCTGGTAATGTGGTAACATGCTTTTGGCGCCCTCTGCTGTGCCCTGTGTGTCATTGTGTAGGCAGCAGAGCGGGATCAAGAAGTAAAGGGTACATTGTCCTCTGTCGTCGTTGTCACTCTCCCTCTACTTCTTAATTTGCATCTGTCTTCCCTTAATTTTTCTCAGTGACTTCATGCTTTTGCAGTAAGTTGGCCTGTTAGCCAACTTTTCTTCCCATTTCTCATGAATTCATCATGTTAGAAATGTTAAACTTCACCACATGAAAAAAAAGAGCGGGGTCTTAGTAGCTAAAATAGTTTCTGATAGAGCTTTTTTGTAATTACACAGCTAGTATATAAATCAGATTCTTGCAGTTTTAACTACTTTACCCTCTTTTCCTTTTATGGTGAAGTCTGGCAGAGTAAAACATTATTATAAAAATCACGGAAACTATTTTTGTTGAAAGGAAAATAAAAAAAATGGCCGTAATATTCTCCTCATGTTGACTTTTATCTGTTGTCTGTTTCTCTCTCCTGCTCTTCGCCATTTTTCTCTCTTCTCCCCCCATGAAGCTTTCTCTCAAGCTGGTAAGCATGACCGTATAACTGCACGACCGTAGCGGCATGACCATAGCACGCATGTCACGTCGTCCCAGTAACACAGTCTTAATAACGTTCTGTACGCTGATATGTTTTTGGTGTGCTCTTTTTTTCTCATTTTATTTGTTTTGGATCTAATTTAATTATTAATTAAGTTTTGCTGTAACACAACAATGGACCTGAGACTCACGTCGCTGTCTCATTTTTGTGTTATGTTTGTTTGTTTGTTTTTATGTTGTGATTGTGTTCCCGTTTTGTCTCTCCCAAAATGTGTCTGTGGTCTCTGTGATGCAGATCACACTCAATTCCCACGTCCGGAATCTCATTGAGGTGATCAGATTTACTCTGTGTTTTATTTGTCTATCCTTTAGTCTGTCTCGTAGTCCTTCTTGTCTCAGCTGATTGTATGTCCCTGTAACATATACTAATTGCCGATCTGTAGAAAGCGAGCTCCTATCCTTACACTGCATGCCACTTCGGTTCCATTTATTGATTTATTGATATTTTTGTGTGTGGTTTGTAAATCTAACACTAGCGAGGATTTCCTCAAAACATAAGGATTAGTGAAATTGTTTAATACTTTTGGGAATCCTTTTCATATTTTGAAACATTCACTTTATGGTGTGTTAAGGGATAATAGTGATACACACTGGAAGTACTGGGAAACAGCTGTCCTGGCTTTATGCAGAAAAACCTAAAAGTTCTCTAACAGTACTTTATCTGTTTTACCTGTTTAAATATGTGGAGAAAAAAAACCCCAAAATGGACTAATTAGGTATTGGCAATAAGACGAGAAACTCATATCTGTTTTTAGGGCTAACTGGTATATCCCAGTTGGAGAAATGGCCTGCCTGCCTTGCCTGTGACTCGCCTTTAGTATCAAAGCGGATCAGAGAGAATCTCTTTGTGTTTCCGGCAAACAAAACTAAAAAGCTTTAAGTGGATAATTAAGCAAAATTCATTTTCAAAAATCCACATGAGTCTGAGTCGTGTCTCTCCATGTTGCTTTGTAAGTTGCTTTGCACAGGGGGGAGTGTTGATGGGATGGTGCATAGCTTCAAAGAAGAAGTAGTTGATGTAACATAACATCAGAGTATCGCCCTTCATGCAAGGCAGAAAGGAGGAGATCTTCCCCTCTGGACAGCCGTTTCCCTGTCCTTCCAGTCTTTATGTTAAGCATATTTGTACAGACATGAGTTTCTTTTCTGAAAAGAAAGTCAACAAGTGCATTTTCGCAAATTTTAAACAGTTTAAATTTTTTTTTAAATGTTGACATTTTACAGCATATGCTTGGTTTGTTTTTGTACGTCAGTGCCTGAGTCAAATAAGACTGATCAGTTTGAACTTCAACTTCAACTAAACTTCAACTTTATTGACTACAACATCAAGTTACTAAATGCCTGCATATAGTTTTAGTTTGTTTATTGATTAAATTTAATCACGTAGAATAAATTTACATTTAGATCGTAGTGCCTCACTAGTCTGAGGATACGTGGATACGTAAACACTAATGAGTCATTTCTGTACTGTGATGTTTCACTGATACGAGAGCATGACATGCCTGCATGCTGACTGACAGATCTTTGTTGTGTTGCATGCCTTTAAGTGTTGCATGCTGATACGGGGAGAAGGGGTAAGGTTGCCGTGGTAACTATCTGGCTCATGTGATGTGAATCCTGACCTCCAGGCTGTAGATCCAGCATTTATTTCCTGTGGTGCCACTGTGACCCATCTCAATGAGATCCAATCACAGGCCTTGACCTCTTCAGTCCACACAGTTCAAAGATTTTCTGCCGATATGTCACTATTTTCGTTCTTTTTTTCCAGCTAATCATAAACTCACTGAACCACAATGCTGCCCCAAATGGAGTAACAATATAAAACAAAGGCCTCATTGCATCTTATTGCGAAATCCTATCATTAAAACCTATGGATAGTCAATTGTTTTTAAACAACAACAGTAGCTTGAACGCAGTATATATATATATATAGGGTCCAAAAAATTAAACCATGTATCAAGTAAGCTGTACTGCAGTACCAACATTTCTGAGTTATTCCAAGACTTACAGAAGCAGCTAGTTAATTACCTTATCCTTACTGATCAATTTATTTATTAGTTTTGATGCTTTGTTTACAGATGTTTACAGAAAGTCTGAGAGGCAGTGGAGCAGCATGACTCATTCTATTCAGTATTACAGTCTCAGCAGGAAACATGACTCCTGTCAAGCAAACCTCTTGCAGCTCATATAACCTTCATTTTAAGAAAGAGCCGTTCCTGTCAGAGAACAGATCCATTAGCTAGCTGACCCTGAAACACTATATGCAATGAAAGGATGTGGCCAAAACTTTATTACATTTCCGTTGCATTTACAGAGCTCTAAATTAGGTGTGGCGACTGAATAGGTGAAAGGCCTCAAGTCTACAGAGCTAAACATCCTAAATATCACAGAGTGTGTTAGAGAGCGGCTGCAGTATCTCCTTCAGTGATTCAGTTAAAGCCTAACAGGAACTCCATTTATTTACCCTGATACCCATTTATCCCTGAGTCTTGTTTCACAGGGTTAAAAAAAAAAATAGAAAAAACCCCCAAAACAGAGAGAGATACTGCACCTATCAAAAACTGATTCCTGCTAAGGCACAAAAAGGATCACTGAAGTTGGTTATTTTCTTTGAGTTTTTAAAAAAGTTTCCATGGTGTGATTTTTTTTTTTCAGGGTTCTGTACCGGAGGACTTCAGTCACCTGCCGCCAGAGCAGAGGAGGAAGAAGCTGCAGGGCAAGATCGATGAGCTGAGTAAAGACATACAAAAAGAAATGGACCAGAGGTATTCAGAGGGGTTTTAATCTAGCGTTATAAATCTTTCCATTCTGTTCTGAAGCCTCAAAGACTTACAAATACTTGCTCTTCCAGAGATGCTTTGACTAAGATGAAAGACGTGTATATAAAGAACCCTCAGATGGGAGACCCGGCCAGTGTGGACCCCCGGCTAACAGAAATAGGTCAAAACATTGAGAAGCTCCAGTCTGAAGTACAGAAATTTGAGGTAAGTTCAGTGTCTGTCTGAGCCCCTATTCCTTTTTGAGTGTTAATGTTGGCAAGGCTGTGTTGTTTGGTTTATCTGAAACAGTAAATAATGAGGAGCTCAGACACACATCTCCAGCTGGGGTAATTCCAAAGAAGACTGTCGCTTATCCATATTAGGAGAAGATGCAAGGCAGCTGCAGGGATTGGCTGCATGTTCCATGTTCTCTGTGCAGAGAGAGAAGTCCCAGAACAATGGCCTGGTTTAACCGTGTAAATAATTGGGGGAAATGCAAGGATGAGGTGTTCGTTCTGTGCTAGGTCCTTGCCGAATGTAAAGTTATCACAGATAAAAAGAATTCCTCAAGTTGTCATTCGTCCAAATTGTCATGTAATAAAAATGAAAAGCTAGAGCCAAATAATGATTGCGTGTGTTTCAGGGCTGGTTAGCAGAGGTGGAGGAGAGGATGCCGTCTAAGAGTGATTCACACCGGAAAAGCGGACTCTATGAGACCCAGAATAGCACAACAGTGAGCAACAACTGTGCACAGGACAGAGAGAGGTATGGTATACTTTGGCAAAAAGCAGCCACAGAACCCAGAGTTTGTAACACACATGACTTTTTGGGAAGAAATCGATGTGTGTTTTCACAGTATATTTACTGTGTGTGTGTTGGCCCCTGAGCAGCCCGGATGGCAGCTACACAGAGGAGCAGAATTCAGAGGTTCAGGTCAAAGCCCAACCCATCCCCACCCCAACCACCACGACGGAGTTCGATGACGAGTTTGATGATGAGGAGGTCCTGCCTACCATCGGCACCTGCAAAGCCTTGTATCCCTTCGAAGGTAACTGCAGCCACATTGGTTTAAAATAAAAACGGTCAATGTAAGTATGAAGCCTGCTCGTTGGCTGGTGGCTGCTGCTGAGGTCCCGTTATTTCTGGAAATAAGCTGAACCTGAGTCTGATGGAAAACGGGTGGAGGAGTTTGTTTCCTCTGAATGAGGAGGAGGAGTAGGGATGCGATCTTTGTGTTCAAATGTGTGGAGGAGTATGAATAAAAATACACTCATTTCTCAGTTGCACTATTTCAAAATCAAATTTGGAAAATTATTCAAAGCTGCTAAACATAAAGCTCAGTGCATATAAAGAGGCGGTAAAGATCTATCTTACTTTAGCTGTAGCGATTGCTGGGTTAACGGTGAAATTGTGGTTCATTGTATAGGTTAAACTAGTTTTTCAGTTGTTTTTCAGTTTTTCAGACCTTTGATGAGTCATAATCATGAATATTAGAATAGCAGTAATAAAGTAATTCTGTAATACTGCAGTCATTCAGTCATTCTGGAGGGTTTTTCTTTCAGCAAGGCTACATAACCAAATGCTACCCGCCCTACTGGCAACAAGAAATGAGAGAAAAGTCCCAGGAATAACCCCAGTCCCTACTGTTGCAGATTACAGTCACGTAAATGAATTACAGTTACACATATTTCCAGAGAGCTCACCGCCCTGTATACCTTGTGTTTTGGCATAAAACCTTCATACTCAAACATTTGTTCAAAAGTAAAAAAGGAGTGTACTCTCAAAAAAGCAATTTGATTACAGATAAGGTTTCCACGTAATTGTGTTACGCAAGTGCAGCGTAAAAGATTAAACTTACTGGAATCTGGTCTATTGAGATCTACTTGAGCAAAGCACAACCTTTAACAAAGCAGCAAAGTTTAACCACATAACGACATCACAAAAAACAAATAAACTGTAACACAATAACGTTCATCTTGGAGTTGTATTCCCTTAATTATCTGGTTATGGTTTTTTGTAGGGCCTCAAACATCTTGGCTCCCCAACCCCAGCCCCCCAGCTCCAAAACTGAATAAGAGGGGCTTACACTGAGTAACACTTTCCTAACTAATGTATCCATAAATGTTTACTTTTCAGAAATAGATTAAATTTAGAATTTCTGTTAAAATGGGTGGATCACATGAAGCACTACTAATTGTTAAAACTACCTGTGCTTATTCATATATGTTGACTCAGGACATGTTAAAGTGCCTGTGGAGTTTCTACAAGTAGTCTTTGACCATATCCCTGCTGTACAGCATCTGGTTTTGCTTCCTCTTTTCTTGCATCTCTGATTTTCAAAGTGCGCTACTAATCAACATGGTTCCTATTAATATACAAAGCCAGCGTTCTTATCTTCTGTTGGTTTGCGGCTGTTCTCTCCTGCAGGTCACAATGAGGGCACCATCTCCGTGGCTGAGGGTGAGCTGTTGTACGTCATAGAAGAAGACAAAGGAGATGGCTGGACACGCGTGCGGAGGAACGAGGATGAGGAAGGATACGTGCCCACATCCTACGTTGAAGTGTTTTTGGAAACGAATGCCAAAGGTGCTATGACATACATTTAACTCAGCAAGTTCTTGCTATGACAGTTTTTGTTACTCTGTATTCCATTCACGTGCTGAACGAGTGGGGCAAGTTACAGAGATTATAGATGCTAGTTCAGACACACACACACACACACACACACACAGACACTTCACGCCGCTCCACAAAGAAGGAGCAATCGGATTTGTCCATTGTGCCTCATAACAGTTGGAAAAGTTGTTTCTGGTAGCGTGAGCTGTGCCAATCAGATATCATGTCTAAGAAGTGTTTGAGGTGAAGCCTCTCTTATTCACGGCAGTGCCACCTAGTGGTCATTGAAAATAAAACATGGCACACTCAAAGCTCATGATTGCGCAAATCAGCACCTAACAGTGATCACCTGTATATTTGAGACATTCACTATTTGATTTTCTTTTAGGTTTTAAAATGTTGAATAACAATATTCTACTCAAATAAAAACACTGTTAATTAAGACTTTGAGCCAGAACTGTGGCCAAAGCTGAATCTGTGTGGTGATAAATCAGCTGAGTGAATGTAAGCACCATGTGAAGAGGCAGTGACCATCAACTCAAAGTTACATTTTTAGACGTTATTGTGTTTTGGTCACTTGACGTACCTAAAAAGAAAGAATGCTCAATGTGCAATCAAGCAAATGTAATTTAAATCAGCTGTACAGTATGAAGACATATCAAGAGATATTTTTGTAGGTTAAACTAGATTAAAAATCATGCTGCTGCCTCTCAAGTGTTGCATGCTCTAGATAAATTACAGTGTTGTTACAACGAGAACAAGTTATTTTCCCCTGTAAGGGGTCATTTTTTAAAATATTGTCCAGTTTAATAACATTAATAGCCGCCTTATAATGGTTCCTTTTTCTAAATTCACCTTTTGATAATGACAGTATTGGGCTGTTCTGGTCCTTTTTTGCAGGCCAGTGGTAAAAGAATAAAGGACTGAAGTATTAGCTGAAGTAAACTATGTATGGTGAGGCTGAGCTGGGATATGGAGCTGGTCATGACTCTAAAGCTTTGTGGTTTGTTTGCATCGGTCTCTGAAGTGTTTACACTAAAAGCATGGTGTGTGTAGCCTCTAGGTCGTTTCACTGCTCTGTTACTCTTTTCCAAGATCAGGGCTCTCTCAAAAATCATACCAGAGCCTTTGTTTAACTCTCACTCTTTTAAAGACACAACTCACCTCAAAATAGAATTTACACATTTTTCCTCTGGCCTCTAGTGCTATTTTCTTACTGTGCAACTACATCCACTAACTGTAAAAACCATGCAGCTAGCTAACATTAGCAGAGGGGGGCACCATTGATGTAAATGGTAAATCGCCTGTATTTGTATAGCGCTTTACCCCAAAATGCTTTACACTACATTCAGTCATCCACCCATTCACACACTGGTGATGGCAAGCTACATTGTAGCTACAGCCACAGCTGCACTGACAGAGGCGAGGCTGCCAGGCACTGGCGCCACCGTGCCCTCTGACCACCACCAGTAGGGTGAAGTGTCTTGCCTAAGAACACAACGACCGAGACTGTCCGAGCTCGAACCGGCAACCTTCCGATTACAAGACGAACTACTAACTCCTGAGCCACGATCGTACATGCTGTCACTCTGCTATGAATGCCCAGTGAGACAGTTTAGGTAAACAGGTTTTACATAAATCTGCTCGCATCAAAACAGTCTAGATCAGGGATGACAAAAGCATTTCACACTGTGGACCACATATAGCTGCATACCCATTCTACTCCTCTTTCTGTAAGTGTAAAAAAAGTCAAATTAAACATTTAAACTTTGAGATATCTTAATATAATTTTTTTAAATAAGGTGCAATTTCAACGGGACATCTCAGTTTTTTGTACATAATAAAGAAAAGCTGCTGTAGTAAATGACAGAAATCTGTTAGAATGACTCTTTGGGCTTAAATGGTAAGAAACAAATTACAGAAAAAGTTTTAGGTGTAGCACATTGGCTGCCCTGTAATTAATAGCATTTTTCTTTTGTTAATTCACAGAAAATACCTTTTTTTTTTTTTTACTGTATACACATTAAAAAAAACCCCAAAAAAAAACCGTTTCTGTCATTTCATTTTTTTTCTATAACCTAATTACTTTAGTGTAGTGTGAATAGTTATAGGCTGTTTTTTATCATTAAAGATTAAGCTGGAAAACTTATAAAGAAATTTCCAAAGCTGTCCAGTGGGCCTGGTTAGGAGTCTTTGCCAGGCCGATTCTGGACCCTTGGTCTTATGTTTGACACCACAGATCTAAAAATAGTACTACAGGCCAGATATAGTATGATTTTGGGAGTTGGAGGGTCCCTTGTATCAGTTTTGAAGATTTGTTACAGCCATAGCATGGCCGTATGTGCGAGGTGTAACTCTACATCAGGTTTAAAACACAGAAATTGTGAAATTTGGTGTGTGCTGTGGCGTTTGTGGGAGTTTTATCGTAACAGGATTACAGCGTGTTGTGATAGTACAGCCATTTCATTCTAACATGCATTCAAGCCCAGTGGTTTTAGTTAAACAGATGCATGTTTGTGTTAATTCAGGTCGTACAACACACGTCTTTCTTGGAGATACAGTAGTAGTACCAGTTTAATGTAGTCTCATATTTAATGCAATGACCTCCTCTCCATATCTGAATATATGGGTTGGTCTTCACTTCTTTTTAAAGCTAACTCTTCTTTTTGTTATTTTTTGTTGTTTGTATTTTCCTTTTTGAATTACAGATTCCTAAAAGTGTGAGGCTGGCTGAGGAATGGCAGGGCAAGCAGCCTCGGAGAAACCACCACGTTCCTCACATGCTCACAGAGTCAGAGAGAAAGATGACCTGAGTCTAAAAGAAAGAGAGACGGCCGATTAGAACGCATCTGAATTTTCCAAACAAACAAACAAAAAGAAAAAGTTTAGACAGAACGCATCGAAAATTTAGTGCTCATAACTTCTCCATTTTTAACCCCCATTCAGCAGTCACAGCCGCAGTACACAAACGGCTTTATGTTGTTTGCAGCAACGCTTTGCTTTTTAATGAAACTAACTGCTCGCACCATGTGCGGTCATGACTGAGGCTGCTGGCTTCCCTGGCTCTGCCACTTCTCTTTTTTCCTTCCCTTTGCCCTGTGACACACAAACACACACACATACATGAAGGAGGGTGTGGTCAGAGACAGGACAGAGACAGGACAGAGACCGACAGGAGCGGACGGACAGAAGAAGCAGGTGGATGAAACGCTCGCTCGCTCACTGACTCGAGACAGAATCATCCCAGCTTCATCTGACGCCACAAGATGCTCATACTCACGCCTTCCACTTGAATCAGCTCTGTATTTGCAGGTTTCACTTAACTGGAATCAGAAGAACTGAAGGTGCTAATCATCTGTCTTTGTCTCCTGTGCTTCTCATGTACGTTCGTTTGATCTCAGTGGTCGTTGGTCTTTTGTGTCACAGTTTCCACTTTCCTCCTCACCAAGATCACTTCCACATATCCAGGACCAGCTGAAGGGGCAGAACTCTAGATGATGGTGTCATCCACCATCCATACCATCCAGCCATTTCTTGTTCTGTCACTGGTGCCTGTTCCTCTCTCTGGCCACACCTCACCCCCTTCCTCACCTCCACAGCCCTTCCCCCCTCCCTCAGGCTATGGCGGCTCAGGCTAGCTCCCTTGGCTGCTTTAAGCCTTTTTTTGTTTTTTCTTTTCTTTTGCAACAGCTCGGGGGGCGGGGGTCCCTCAGCATTGTGGTGTGCTGCATGCTTGCCCTGTCTTCCTCCTCGCCCCTGTGCTGGCGGGTTGGAGGAGGCGGTGGGGGTGTTAAGCCTGCTTACGCCCCTTCCCTCCAGCCTTTAAGTTCAGTTAACCCTCATTGCCTAGTCATACTGTTTGAATTAACCTGAATGCTATTGTTTGGGTTTGGTGCCTGTGGGTCTTTTTTTTTCTTCTTTTTTTTTTAAATTACGTACATGTTTTTTCAGTCATCTGTTCAGAAAGCATGTTTCCCTGTTTTTAACAGAAAGTAAGTGATCTCAAATTTGTGTAGTTTAATCACAAAAAAGGACGATAGGAACCCAAAGTGTCATTATGTTTTTTCTTTTTTTCTTTTTTCCTGAATGATCTCATGCATAGATAGGTCAAGGTTATTTTGTTTTTTTTGTAAGTACAGTACGTATGAGAAGTGTTAGTTTGCTATGTTTTGATCAGAGTGTCTAATGCAAGTTGTTAGTTTAAAGTTAATCACCTTGTGGAAGTGGCTCCACTTGGTCCAAGCAGCACCCAAAAATGAAACCTATGAAGATATGAGTTACACCCGATGTTTGTAACAAGCTCCACCTACTGTCTACTGTATATGAAAATATACTGTGATCGTTTTCCTGTGAGTTTTTGACTGAAATGTGACAACACGCCGATCATCACCCGTTTTGGGCCTTAACAGGTTTCACTGAGAGGAGGAACGATGCTGACGTTCGCTGTGGTATGGTGAGGAGACGAAGATGTGATTATCTCGAGGGGGCAAATTTCTAATCATGAAACTGTCAGGGTAGAGAAATGATGTCCACTGATTCCCCCTGCTCAATGGCACATAATGCACGTGATTTTTAACATTTTTGTTTCATATATGACGAGTGAAGATTCTCTTTTTCTTCCTTTTTTTTCCTCTCTTCTTTTTTTAAAGCTGGAATGATATGTTGTTGCTTATTGTACCTGAATGGGACTAAAATCCCTTAACTGCAAACGTGAGTAACCGTTACATTGTTTTTATGTTTTGGATGAAGCCATCGTATATTTGTCTAATGCAGAATTTTATGAACACTCCCCGTGTGGAGGAATGATGGACGTACTGATCATTTGGACTGCCGATGTAAGGAATGATCAAATCCCTGCTGAATCAAATACCACGTTTGCTTTTGCCCCTCTCATCGCTTCACACATCACGGTGATCAAACAATGTCTGGCAAATGATACGATTAAATCCGATGAGGCAGCAGTAGCTTTAGGGCAGGCTTTGCTCTGACACGAGACCACCACAAACCTTTTCTGTCGATGCCCCAGAATAACTCGCGTGTACAGTGGAAATGGCGTGATGGAATTAGAGAAAATATATATGAGTATATAAATAAAGTTTAAAAGGAAAACATCTATTTTAACTATGGAGAGTCTTACCATTACTTTATCTGCTTTGCAAAGTAAGACTTCTTTTCCTTTGTAAGGTCTACCAGATGGTGTGTTTTTGCACTTTTTCGTTTGTGTTCCATTCGGTAGGCCATGCTTGTGTTTTGGAGCACTGAATACTTTGTATTGTGTTTACTGTGCCAATTAAATATGCCTGGAGAGTAAACGGTGTATTGTCTGCTTGTTTTTCTTCTCTCGATGAGCCACAAAAGTCACATCAATCACCATTAACTGCATCAGCAACTTAAACCATAAAACACAATGTGAATGGAGACAGATAAAGTGTGATGGCAGGGCTTTATGATTTAATTACTCTTAACACAGACCACTTGTAACACACTTTGTTTTATAACTAAAGATTCTTTTTGTCATTTTTATACTCATGTTTTAATAATTTAGCCCATTAAAATGATGCAAGGATAAAAAATGACAAAAGCATTACAAGTTGTGAGGGCAAAGAATGACTTGCTCATATTTCTTCTTTGTTGGAACAACAATCCAAATGTGAAACCAGTTAACTGACTTTTTCTTACTCTGCTTTTCACCATACAAATGTGGATAATTTATTATATTATTAGTCATTAGTCATTTTAATGAATACATCAACCATTCCTATGATTAAAGGCACAACATTTGGATTTAGTCATCTACTATCAGAAAAGGCAACACTACCTTTTAAAAGTCTCTTTTACAGCAGTGGTGTACCCAAAGCTACTCATGCCCCCCAGAGGTCTGTCAGCTTTAAACCCTTTCATCCACCCCTCCTCTCATGTTCACATGTGTTCAACAAACGCTGAACTCATTTTTCAGTCTGGTCGCTGGACTGCTTTCAGTTTACCATTTACTACAGTCAGACATTGCTGGTTAGCAAGCTGCCATTAATTTGTGACTTTAGTTGCGCTCAAACAGTTCTTTATGTTTATTGACGACAGCTGTTTACCCGTGATTACTGATGGTAATCCACACTTCACATAAAGCTAATATTTCAAGACGGCTATAGCCATGTCATTCACGTCTTTAAGAAAATATTCCATATTTCTATTCATAATTTCAACAATTTTTGCTGCTTATTTGTTTAGCTTCGCAAGCAATTTTAATGCTAACACAGATTTGCTTACCTGTAGTGGTAGCAGCAGGTTTTACAACTCATACATGGCTTTAACATTCAGCATTTGGCCCTATATCCGACCCCACTGTGCAGTGGTCCACTGGGCAACGTGTAGCCCGGTTTGGAATCTGTGTGCTAATATGTACAACTGCAACATAGCCTGAGCACACTTGCATTGCTAAGCCCCCCGCCCCCATGCCACACTGCACTGTGGTTACACAAAGCTTTGTATATTAAAAACTTTCCTTTTTAGCTCCAGATGCAGTCCCACATCTCGTCCAGCAGAGGGTAGTCGTGCTCCATTCTCAGCTATGGTAATGTCACTTGAATGGTTGGGAGTGTTACACTTTTTATTGCCTTATTTTTCAGCAACAGTGCTGGAAAAAAAGGAAGTATTTTTCAGGGATGGAGCTGAAAAATAAAACGCAGATGGTTCTTGAATTATGTTTAGTGCTCACCGGACAGACCTCAGTTTGGATCATGTTGTGTTTACTTAACTCTCTCTCTGTCTCGTAGCATTTTATGTCCAGTGTACTTTTTTAAAAAGGTGTTCTTACTAACTGTACTGTTATTGGATTGCATCTGGCAGTCAGACACTGGCAGTAGTCACATATATTGATTCTGGACCACTAAGCTGCAGCCTGATAAATCCCAGCTGCCCCACAGTATGCAGGTGCATGCTGTGTAGCAGATGCAGCACTCACTTCCTCCACCACACTTCACCACACTTTCAAAAAGCCTCATTGGCTTTTGCTCCCTAGAACTCCCCAGTAGCCTGAAAGGGCTAAAGAAAATTAATTGCTTCAGTGGATCCTACAAGGCAAGGAAGTTTGTGTCGTCAACACGATTCACAGCTTCTTCCACTTTGCTTTTTTTTTTAATTGGTTTATTCAGGAGCGAGTTTATATCACATGCAGGAGGTGCCCTGCAATAGCAACATTTTCATCTGTAGTCAAGTGCAGGAAGGAAGGCATGTTGCAGCCATGTGTCATCCTCAAAGTGCAACATCGCACAGTACATGTGAAACAGATGACAAGAGAACAGACGAAAATTGAATTACAAGACATAACTGTAACCAGCTAAGCTCACATAATTCATTCAAAAATAGCTAGCTCTTGAATTATTAAGGTGAAAATAAGTAGATGGCAGCAAAGCGTTACATGTTCATTTCTTTCATTCGCCTGGTTGGCAGATTTACTTCATTTGCTTTCTGTGGAGATGATCACACCATTAAAATAGGGCCACTGCTTCTAGCTTTAAGGATTGATGATTAAAGCTGCCTCAGACTAATCTTCCATCTGTCTTGGAGCCCAAATAAGTCAGGGAACAGTCTTTACAGATTTATGGGCTAGTATCACTCACTCGCTGATGGATCCTCACACCTTTGTAGGAAGTCATGTACGTTTTATTGTAACCAACAACAAGTGAAAATGGTTTTCTGTTAGCTACACACAAACTGATATGTTGCTTTTGCTTTGATGACTCTGGGTATCCATTTACCATTTATAACATATGTGTTTACTCTATAAGGCTGGTTCTAAAGAGGCATTTTTATTGTTGTTATTTACGTTACACATTATTTCTAGCTTCCACTAGGGGGCGATACCCATAGTAACAAAAATACTTTGAATTCTTTAGATTGTCAATGGGAAAACAACCCTTGGCTCTGACCTCAGTAAACACTTTCTTGGTGAGTTTTATTGAATAAAATGAATAAAGTCAGTTTTATGAATTTTGGCCATTTTCAGTGTCGAAAATAAGGATTATTCAGGCTATGCTCACTTGTGATTGACCAAGGATGTTAGATAATGAGCATGTGGCATTTTGAGATTTATACTGTCTATGCTGTGCTCTCCTATAATACTCCATGGCTTTGTTCATACAGTACAACTGTTAGTTGCTTCAGTGTTCCAACACCCTCTAATAAGAAACACAGCAGTGCAGCAGGATGAAAGTAAGGCAGGAGAAGATTCTGTTCTGCACAATCAACTGACTATTCAGTCCTAAAAATTGGACTGAATGTGGATGCTGATGCTATGGCTCAAGGGTCTGTCAGACCACTAGTTTGTTCCAGGCTTTACAACACTGTACAAATATAAATGGGGCACAGAAGCTGGGAATAATACTTTTACTGTAATGGCACAAAGAAGTTGGCATTTGCTTTCTTTAGTTAGTAATTGCCATGAAATCTGCTGGACGTCATATCCAAGTTAATACGCATTGTAACAAGTTGGAGCATCAACTAAGAGTATTCCCGTCAACTTTCAGATCTATTTTGTTTGCAAAAGATAACGCCTGCTGAACATCAGCATGTTATCTCTTTCTTTTATCTTTGTGGGCTTGTTAGCATGCTGACATTAGCATTTAGCAAAAAGCATAGCATGCTTACAGCAGCTGGTTTTTATTTTCTGAAAGGTGTAGATTTAGATTTAGTATAATCTTACATCTAAATGACCCTGTTATTCTTTACTCAGACCTCCTCTGTAATTTTACTTATGTAGCCAGAAATATGAACTTAAGTAAAACCATATATTTGATGATTTTAGAGTGATCTCCACAAAACCCCTCCAGAAAAAGATGGTCTCATGACTTGGACTTTGGCATGGTGACTTCAAAGATTCAAAATCCTTGAAAATCCCAAAGTGGCCAACTCTTCATACGTCACAAATTTAAAAAGGGTGTCGACTTGAACACTCTATGCTACTGTTGCACTGTCAGGCTTTTTCCAGCGAATCAATAAACCTGGTGTATAAATTCAGCAGCTTGTTTGGAGGTTTGTAAGAGACTTTTTGCCACTTACCACAGTCTGCTTTACCTGCTGCTTTCGCTCTGTTCCATTACTGCTATGTTCCTGTCTTGCCTGGAGTGAGAGCAAGCCGCCTGATGGGGAAAACACACCTCTGGAGATCAGCCCAGTCTGTCCCATCATTAACAGCCGGTGGGGGCTGGCATCCATCTGTGAAATGAATCAAGGCTGTCACCTCATAAGCTACCTTTGCAGCTTGTTTCATTCATTTATTCATGTATTTTTTTACTTCGAATTTGGCATTGTAGTTCAAAAGGTCCTTTCATTTTAGTGCTGTTTGAGCATTTTTCATGTGTTAAGTCACCACAACCTATTTCAACTTCCTGAACAATTATGATTGCTACATATGATCAAAAAAATATTTAATGTTACTACATGTTCTTCACGTCCTTTAAGCGATGCCAGCCGAAAGGCCCTGCGGGCCTCGTGGACCTCTTTCTCCTGTCCTTCTGATGACGCTGAGCGTTAATACAGCGCAGGTCCACACAACGAGGAAGGCTTTTCACAGGTTTTGCAATAGCAACGTCAAATTAATCCTGAAACGAGTAAACAGCTTTCATTTGTGAACAGCGCTCAGCTCCTGGCCTGCCGCTGCTCCGTCTTTTTCACTGGGACCATCTTCAGCTTTGACAAATTTCTCAAAGCCAAAATATGCTGAATCCTTCCCAAAGGTATGACAAATGTGGGAAAGGAAGACACAAACCACCAGTCAACAAAAGAAGCTTGGCCACCTCAGACCACTTGGCGGATATCAAGCTTTGCAGACACAAAGGCCATTAATAGCCAGTGCTTCAAAATTTAAAAACAAACAAAATGACGTCAGCAGTGGCATTTCTCAAAATTAAAGTGCAGATGTTTCTCCAGTGTAACAAAGAGGAAAGCTAGTTCCTCCATCTGGAATAGCTATGCTGTCAGCAGACCGGGTCCTGAGCTGAGCTAATACTTGGAGTGTGGCGCTTGGTTTCTGTATTTTTAATATCTTGCACATTACAGCCAAGACTGTCAAGTCAGCATTGTACAATGCAACCTCTTGCCACTGCCATTTGGCAATAAGCACTCAACATGGCTTACAAACATCTAACTACGGAGCAAAGATCTCTGATTTACGCTTGTCTGTCATTTGGACTCAAGTGCAGTCATTTGGCTGAGCTGTCCTCTTTTGGCCAGAAGCCGTTTCCTGTTAGGTAAGACAGGCAACTGGGGGCATTGAAGGAGCTGACTGAGTGTGGGAGCTGCTGTGGCTACAACATTCACGCG